TAAGGTGGAAGGTCAGAGAAAAAGAGGAAGACCCCCAACAAGATGGATTGGCCAGGTGTCAGCATCAATGGACATGGACTCAAGCGTGGCAACAGTAGTGGGACTGGCCTAGGATCGGGCAGTATTTCATTCTGCTGTGCATAAGGTCACTATGATTTGGTACTGACTGGATGGCACCTAACAACAACAACTAGCCTTAGTCTTAGTATACTCCCACCAAAAGACTTTCACCTGATGGGTCTGTGTAAGAGCAGGTGGTCGGACTTGTTGATGTTTTATATGATCAGTTGTGAGTGCTTGTTGGAAGGACTAATTGTGATTGGTTAATTTTGCCATCCTGCTGGGTATAAAATGAGTCCTCTCAGAAGCCGAAGGGCAGTATCTCTACCATCAAAGAAAAAAGAGCCAAGCGTGGAGGAAGTCTTCTGCACCCTGAGATCCCTGCTCATTGACCCTTCCTCAACCCAAGGGCAGAAGCAGTGACCCCAGAAGTGTAGAAGCAGAACAGAGACCGTGAGGCAGAGTGGTGGGCTGTGCAGCCCACAGAACAAGTACTTCGGTGACTTCAGGCCGGAGCTTGCTCCATAGTGAGGTGCCTTCAGGCATTTCATTGTTGGAGCTAAGTTTGCTGACCAACACAATTCAAGCTGAGTTACCTTCAGGCTGAGACTTACAGTAGGAGTGGTTTGCCCTGTGAGCACTAACAGCAGCCCTAAAAAGCTTTGTAATATGGTCAGAGCAGGACACAGGCCAGACCAAAAGGCCTGCTTGCCAGTATGGTAGAGGAGCAGCTGTACCCTGAAAATTTCTGACACTGCATTGTAACCTTTAACCCCCAGATACAACCCATAACTGTGAATATAATACCGGAGTTCTGTGTGGACCCAGCTGAGTAGAGTGTGCCTTGAAGAGGGGAGAGAGATTGGTTCATTCTTGTAGTTTGTTCCTTTGTTTTTAACTTTTCTCTCTATTTCTGCCTATCACACATCTCATAAATTGTTTTTCCTTTTGATATCTAGATCATCTCACAGTCCATTTTTGGATCTAATTAAGGAAGTTATCCTAAATGTAGCTGTTACAACTATCTCTTGTAGGATCGTCACTTACATTTTATGACTGGTTTAGCTCTGTAACACTTAGATCTTTGTAACCCTTGTGTAAAAAGATAAACATGTGCAAGCTATTTTGCTACCATATACTGATGACCTAATTAAATTGATAGAAAAATAGCATTTTTCTACATATAATTAGCTCTACTGATTCAAAATATAATAAAGCTGTATTCAGATGATTAATTTTGATTAAGAAATATTTAATTTTGACAAAGCTCCAATTCATAAAATTATAATTTTTAAATAGAGATTATCCTAGTAAACATTTTAGTCAGAATTTCAACTTGAATGTGATTTTATGACTCAGAAATTATAGACTCAAATGATCTCTTTCTAGTGACTCATTTGTGATGTTTCAGCTACCTTTCTATTATTATTGTTAGGTGCCTTTGAGTCCGTTTGAACTCATTGGCAACCCTGTATAGAGTTTCTGAGGAGCGGCTACTGAGCTTGAACTGCCAACTTTGCAGTTCAAACCTGCCTTGTAGTCAAATGTTTATCGTGCAGCGCCATACCAGGACTCCTTTCTATAGGTTACAGTACCTGCTACTCTCAAGAGACAGCAAAAGAAATCTTGTATATCTTGTAAATCTCAGGGTGTCAAAAATTGTACTTAACAGAAAAAAAAATGCTTCAGATAAACACTTCAAATTCTGCACTCAGCATTTTAAAGCTGATCTCATAGAACTCTCCCCTGAATTATTAACAATATTTTGACTAACAATGTACTCTGCTTCTAACACAGCCTCTTAAAAAGATAAGAGTTCAAAATCCATAAAACAACAAATCTTAATTGTACCTTGCCAATGAAAATTTCTATTTGTACAGACAAATTCCTGGAAATGTAATTAAGTTAGTGTGTCCACTTATTGGTATTTTAATAACATCCTTAGCTCATTTTTGTGCGTAGCATTTAATCAGTAAAATCGTGTCTCACAGTTTGTGGTTTTGTGTTGCTGGTGGAGATTTATTAACATTACAGTAAATACCATTGCATAATAACTGCCCTAGAAACTCCTCGAGGTTAAACACACCTTGAACTTGTTGGGATGCTCCTAGATTTCATTTTCACCAGCCTTTTTCACAGCCTCTTTCAAAAATCCCACTGAGGAGTCACACCTCTTAAGAATCTCCTATGATTGACCTCATGTTCAAGCTAAGTTCCTCTTGTGTTTTGACTCTGGCAGCACCTCTGGCATTCCTATTCCCAGGTGATGTTCTCCTGTTTTGTATTGTTCCTAATTGTATATGTATTGTGTATTACTAGTTAAGACTACGAGTTCTTTGAAAACTAAGGATTTACTTTCTGTCATTTCCCCTCTCATACATCTTCTTAGGATACTGCGTATCGTGTTTGTTCTCTAGGTTCCTCATGGATTTGGGACGCAGGCTACCTACTAGAGCTGCAGAGAGAATATCAGATTTGGTATGGGGGACACTGCAGGGGAAACGGAAAACCTCTGTTCAGTGGTCTACAATAACAGAACGTGCCTTTCCCTTCCCAGTGCCTAGTTCTCTTGCACTACTGCAATCTAGATAATGATTCTGTATACACCAGCAGCAGCCATGTGCATGAACGTCGTCCCTCCTATAGATGCCTTCACTAATCATTTTTAACCGGGTTTTGCTTGTATAAAAAGTTAAAATGCTGATGGGACTTGTTCGCCGGTCATGTCTTTTTGGGCACCTAGTGCAGTTTTGGTATGTTGTTGTGGTGCTATAGAATAATCACTGAAGTACTAACCTCGAGGTTGATGCTTCAAACCCACCAGCTGCTCCTTAGAAACCCTATACGTGATCACTATGAGTCAGAACCAACTAGACAACAGTTAGCTACAACAATAACAGTGCAGTGGTCACTAAAGAATATTCACTGACTCATAGAAGAGTATGCGAGTGAACAGTCGAGAAGTTTTAAGAGAAATAACTAATGATACCGGGCTTTTTTGAGCAACAGGATCGTATTCTAAATTTTGTTGGTCTCACACTAAGGTGAAAACTATGGCAGTGGGAGTTCCCAACATGAACATCATTTTGTAAAACAACCAGTTTATATGAATAAATACAGAAGACTTGATTGATAATGTACTGACAACACGATTTAGGATGCTGCTTTTCAAAATCCTTAGAGAAAGACATTTCACTTATCTGATACTGGGAAAATTAAGAGCTTGAACGTCTTTTATTTTTCCCACAGCTCTGCAAGTGAATCTGGTTCTCAAAGCACCTGTGATCCACTTGTAACTCCAACGGCCCTGGCTGCCTGTACCAGAGTTGACTCCTGTTTCACGCCCTGGTTTGTTCCATCTCTTGGCCTTTCCCTCCAGTTTGCTCACCTGGAATTCCATCTTTGTCATCACCTGGATCAACTAGGCACAGGTGCTCTTTACTTTATCACCTAATTAATGTCCTCCTAATGCTCGTTAAAAGGAGCTCTGGTAGCTTAGTGGTTACGAATCGGACTGCAAACCTCTTAAGGTCAGCAGTTCAAAACTACCAGCTGCTCTGCGGGATAAAGATGAGGCTTTCTGCTCCTGTAAAGATTTGCAGCCTTGGAAACCATGTACAGGGTCGCTATGGGTTGGAACCGACTTGACGGCACTTAACAACAACAACAATGCTCATTAAACCCTATACAGGGCCGCTTTGGGTCATGCTCGTTGTATTACCCTGAGTGTTTTCATCGATTCTTACCCAAATAATTCATTTTCAGGAAGTATGAACAGCTTGGAAGAGTTTTCATTTTGTGCACTATAGGATTAACGATGCTCCAAAATGCTAAGATTGTTAATCACTTCCCCCACCAAATCTCTTTCCTCACCATGTAGCGGAGCAAATCTTCATTTTCCATAAATAGCAAACATTGACAAAGTTATTCTGAAGTTGATTGTTTCAAAAAGTATACCCCTCGTTTTTTGATTAGTGTATGGACTTATGTACGTTTCCAATGGTATTGAATTGACATTCTTGAAATGTATTAAGCAGCCTCTTAATGAGAATTCTCAAGGAATTTTTTTAAATTTCAGGTTTTACTATTATTCCAGCTATGATCTATTTGAAAGAAATACATGTGTTTTTGTTCAATTCCCTGAGCTATTACAGTAATGGTAAATATATTCTGAAAGTACTTGATATTGCCTGATTTCAAAAGCATGAATACCTTCTATAAAAGATGGGAAAATTCCCAAATGGGATAAAGAACTAGCATTTTTTACAAGTTTGACAGGAAGAAGATTAAATTTCCCCCACACCAAAAGTAACCTTTTATAAATTTTTGCTAATGTTAATTAAATAATTATTTTAAAAACATTATATTCTCTACCAAACCTCTTGGAGTTAATACATTTTGATTCCAGGTATTAAGTTTTAAACCTACACGTAATGGAAAAAGGAAAAATATCAGATTAAAACCAAACACAGCTGCTGTTAAACATCTTGCCTTTTCAGCAAAAATGGAGTTTAACCTGTTTTTTTTCTTATGCTTTGAAACATTTTTGTTTTTGTTTTTGAGATTTGCTTGGTAGATACAGGGCAGAGCTATAAACTCTTTATAGATAATGACCTTCTCTGTTATTTGTCATTTCTGATAAAATGTTTATGAGTCTAACATTTGACAGCATATCTCTATATTTAAGAAACTTTCAAGCAAAACAGAGGTTTTTTTTGCAAATATCAAATTGTAATTCAAAGATTCTAATGTCCTCAAGAGGATATTTGAACTTATTAAATGCCCAATGCTGAATTCAATAACAAAAAAGTTAAGAATTTGAATGTATCACTTTTTTCCTCTTTAACTTTTAGTTTCTGTTTGTTTTCACAATAGCTCCACCACAATACTTACAGCCTTTTATTTCTGATAAAAATGTGCCATCAGAACTGGAATACGTGATTGTTTCCATCAGAGAACCACACGTGTACCTTCGACAGTGGGCTGATGGCTCTGTCTGTCAGGAGATCCGGTTCTCAGCTCAAGCTGACTGTAAACTTCTAGAATGCAGAAATGTTACCATGCAAAGCGTGGTGAAACCCTTCAGCATCTTTGGACAAATTGCAGTTTCCAGTGATGCAACAGAAAAGCTGCTTGACTGCACGGTGATAATTGATTCTATATTTATAAATTTTGGACAACATGTCGTTCATTCTCTGAGCACTGCAATACAAGCTTGGCAGCAGGTAAGCGTATTCGAGAAGAGTTTGCCTTTTGGCCACATATGATTTTTCATTAGGTACTGTGTGTTATCACCTCTCATAAGTTAGCCACAAACAAAAGTGTGAGAGAATGAAGAATATGATGGGCATCATAATATTTGGATACTTCTCTCTTTTGGCAAAGTTATGCATGTAATTTTTTAAGACTTTGGAGAATATGGGTTCTCTACACGTGCATCAGAGATCGTGCCCACATTTTTGTGACTAATATACCACATCTGTGTGGAAAGTCACATATTTCCAGAAATTGTTTCCAAGTATGTGGCTTTAGCTTGCCAAAGCTTCAACTTAGCTATGTATAGAATTGTCTAAGAATCCACTGCAGAAATGAAGAACCTGTATAAGGCTTTCTGATACTAGCATTCCACCTTTTCAAACATAACAAAGCAACAACAAATAACCAGATAACATATGTGAGCATAAGATAGTCTTAGTCTTCTATTATCTTTCTGACTTTTTGATTATCTAAAATCTCTAGCGAGCAGATTTTGGTGGATCAATTAAAGAGATTTGATGAGAATAGTAACTTTTTACCTCCATCTCATATCAGAAATTGACTGTACCAAAAGGGATGAGGTGTAAGTCTGTGCCAAATCCCATATTTAAAATGAGGACCCTGTCTGCTACCTCTAGTCTGGAAATTATTTTATAGAATTTTTGGCCAATACTGTGGTCACCAGTTTAAGAGCCCATCACTTCAGCTTCCTTTATTGATTTTCAGTGTAATACTGCGGAGTTCTGGTGTGGCATTGTGGGTTAATGTGCCAGACTGCAAAGAGATTTGAACTGCAAGGTTGGTGGTTCAAGCTCACCATTCACTCCTTGGAAACCTTATGTAGGGTCGCTGTGGATTGGAACTGACTCGATGGCACTTAACAACAACAACAACAACTGTCTTTCTATTAAGTTTGTGTTGTTTTTTTCAAGTGGAGACATCTCTTTACGTTGTATTCGTTTCATGCCCTTGTGTGAAGTTGGCTTCGCAAGAGAAATGGTCCTTTGTCCCACACTGACCTCTTGAGGGACGTGGAGGAAGGGGGCTCTGCAGAAGCTTTAATTCCCTAACTTAAGAATTTTCACAGGAGTAAACTGCTTTCTTTACATGCATGAAGACCTGTATAAGACTAAGGAATTAATTACCTAACATGGCACTACAATAGCAAAGGGAAAGAAGATAACACATCTGTTTCATATTTTGAAATTCTTTTTTAAGGGCATTCCATGGTTTTCTTGTTGCAAAGGACATGCGTAAAATAAGAGCTAGTGTGATCTAAATCTTTGCAGCTGGTTCAAATAGCGATGTGAAAAAACCCTCCATGGCTCCAATTTCTGTTTTTTTGTCATATTTTGAACAATCCATTTAATAAAAAACAAGCCTAGAAAATATAAAAGAGTCATTGATAGAGCATTTCAACCCAGGATATTTTTGTCTTGATATCAGAACCATTATAAGAGGACTCATGTGTAGCAACTACTGCAAAATGGTCTTCAGAAATATCAGTTTTCTCCTAGGGTAAAAGTATTCTCTTAGACACAGCTATACATATAAATAAAATATGGTACATAAATATTTAAATGTTTCAAACCACATCAGAGTGTGAATGACTGACTGGCTAACACAATGCCTTGAAGGAATAGTCTGAGTTTTTTTTTTTTTTAATGGAATTGTATATTTGATTAAGTAGAGCCATATGTCACAGAGCATATTGCTGACAGGTACATTCTATGAAGAGTTGGTTCTGATTGATACAGGGATTTGGCAATGTTAACATGAGCCACAAGAGGATATACTTCTGTAATTGTTGCTGTAATTTTCTTGTTTCCTCCATGTCAAGGGTACTTGCCACCAAGTTTTAATGTAGTAAGCATCTAACCCTGTGTATGCTAAAGTAAATATAAAAATGCACTACTCGAAAATTATGGGACTTTTGACACTGAAATGGACTCATGTTATTGTTGTTAACTGCTGTCGAGCTGGTTCCGACCCATAGCAACCCCGTATAGGATTTCCGAGGAGCGGCTGGTGAGCTTGAATCGCCAACCTTGCAGTTCAAACAGACCTTGTGGTTGAGCGCCTATCCTACAGTGCCACGTCAGAACTTCAAAATGGTCTTACCAGGGGATTTTTAAGCTCATTGGTTCTAAGATGTTCTGAATGTGGTATATCCCCTTTAGAGGGGAGGTTGTTTCCCAAATTTGGATTTTATTGTGTGTGCTGTGCTCAGATGCAGTGTAATTATTGCCAATGAGAGAGATGAATTTAATCATCAGGAGAAATTATTTGAGTTCTCTACATAGTTTGTATCAGATTCCTATCTGAGATAAGTCATTTTTACCTAGTGTGGATGGACCAGACAGTTGAAGCATGAAACAGTTTGACCTTCCATCTTTAGGTCATGAGTTCAAGATTAACAGAAACCTTCATCTGTTAATCTGTTACCTCATTTCTGTTGCCATAGATTTTTTTCCCCCCAAATGATGAATGTTTTGTGAAGCCAAATTAAGGACCCAAAATGCTACTGACGATTTGTCTTACAAGGGGTCTTCAAAAAACCCTTAGATAAATTCCATTTTCTTTTCAATTCCATTTTGTTTGTGACCTTTCTGAAACCTCCTCATATATTTCTGTGCCACATTCCCAGATTTGAGCAAAGTAACATTTAAAAAAGATAATTTTCATCTGTTTCCCTCCTGTCTTACACCAAAACAATATCTCTGTTTAATTGCGGATCTGACTGAGCATTCTGAGCTTTAGCTTAATATGATGTCACATAGAGTTTATAATATTCCAGGATTTAAAGCTTACCAGGAAATTCTTAAATGTATTGCAGTTAAAATGAACTCCACAGATGAGGGAGCAGCAGAGAAACAGTTCCCTAAAGACGAGGAGGATTCTTTAGAAAAATGTAAACAACTCTCTTGTGTTCTTTAATTTGCATTTTTCCCTAAAACCCTCATCATCTATTAAAGGTCACTTTTTAGAGATGAGGAAAGTAAAAGGATTTTTTTTTTTTCCTACTCAAGCCCCATTTGGTGACTTAACTTCGTTGTTACTAGCAGATTGTCCCAATTCTTTATGAAAACTGAATTTCAGTCTCAGGACATCTAACTAGTAGGAGTTTGTAAGCATATCCTTTACTTCATGTTTGTACTTAGAAAAAAAAAAAATCTTTACAAGGAGAGCAGTTTATATTCATATTCACTGTTGTTAAATGCTGTTGAGTCACTTCCAACTCTGTGTAGGGTTTCTGAGGAATAGCTAGTGAGTTTGAACTGCAGACCTTATGTTGAGTGCTTATCGTACAGCGCCACCCCAGGACTATATAAAGCTAACTGGAAAAAGTCCATGATACCAAGCTAATTAAATACTATGATTTCAGCTTGATTAAAGGTTTACGAGTAAATATATAAGGGAAGATTGGATAGTATAAAGTGGGAACAGGCAGGAAACTCAGAAGAAGGGGTGGAAATATCTACTGGAAGAAAATTTTCAAGTGACTCAAAATATTGACGGCCATTTTCTCCAAGTAGTAAGATTAGAGGGTTTGAGGTGTTTTTTTTTACTTTCTGTATCCTCTGATTTTCTACAGGAAATGTATATATTACATGTATAATTTTTTAAAGGAAATTTGTGCAAAAACAACAAGATGTGCCAAGAATCATGCTAGGCTTGGGAGATTAAGTTGTAAATAAAACAGACATAGTTCCTGCCCCTATGCAGCATAGAGTCTGAAGACCTATGATCAAACAAGTTAATTAGTTAACAGTAAAAAACAATGCTCCGAAGACAAAATGGGTAGCATAATATGCGTATGAAACTGGGGAACCTAACGTGGTCTGGAGGCTCTCAGGAGGCTGCTCTAGAGAAGTGACATTAAAACCCGGAAGGAACATAAAAGGAGACTAGAAAGGAGTTAGTGAAGCAAAGCGGTGGAGGAAGAGATGTCCAAGCCAAGGGAAAGCACAGAGGCAAGAGGAGTTTGACAAGCTGGATTAATTGAAAGAAGGCTGGTGTCATGTTGGGAGTTACTGAAAAGGCTAGTAGAGCAGGGGTGAGCAAATGAAGAATGACTCAACATGTGGCTAGAGATGTGGACAGAGCCAGGTCAGGTGGTCCAGCTAAACCCTGCAAAGCTAATGATTGAAAATCACAGAAGAGTATTTTATGGTTTTTGCTTGTTAGTTGTTGTGTCAAGTCAGTTCCAACTTAAAACGACCTGATACACAACAGAATGAAACATTGCCCAGTTCTGCACCATCTCCACAAATTTTTTTTCAACTTTTTATTTTGAATTGAGTGTGAAGGTTTACTGAGCAGACCATCAGTTTTACATTCAATAAGTCATATACCTTGATTCATTACAATGATTCAAATCCCTTCTGTGTACCAACAATTAACAGTATTGAACTCTATTCACTTTTGACTGTTGCATTCTGTCCTCTGTCTCCTGCTACTTGCATCTTTCCTTTGCCAATCTTCCTCTTGTGGTATATTGCCTGCCCTTTCACCCATATTAACATGTGTCTACCCTCTAGCCTAAGGAGCTCTGGTAGCGTAGTGGTTACGAATCGGGCTGCGAACCTTAAGGTCAGCGGTTTGAAACTACCAGCTGCTCCGCGGGAGAAAGATGAGGCTTTCTACTCCCGTAAAGATTTACACCCTCGGAAACCCTGTACAGGGTCGCTATGGGTCGGAACCGACTCGATGGTACTTAACAACAACAACCCTCTAGCCTGTGAATAATTTTCCTCCCCACCCCGTGCCCTCTCTAACCATGATGGGTTGTTCCTTTTATCAAGAAAAACTTTTCTTTAAACTACAGTGGTCTCATACACTATTTGTCCGTTTGTGATTGATTAATTTCACTCCACTCAGCATAATGTCCTTCAAGTTTTTCCTTATGAGATGTTTTGCAGATTCATCCATATTCTTCAACAGTGTGTAATATTCCATTGTGTGAATG